TAACAAGCATAGGGTTTCTCGTCTTCTATGCGGCCGATACCTACGAATGCTTGATGAGCGTCCCGTTCCATCAAGCCCCCGCTCTTCGCTTTATCGAATACTATAACACGACGATGCAGTTCCAAAGTACTCTATCGTACGTCAAGAATCCACCGCCGGGCTACCAACAGCCTGCTTTCGACTTTATGGGGGAATTGGAAAAGTTGAAGCATAACGTTACGGTCGGGGTTTTCAAGAGCCAGTACGACTTCGAGGTCACCCTACAATACCTGGTTTACTCGGTCCATGACGCCCATGTCGATCTGTATGCGGGCATTTTATCTGTCTTCTCATACGCCAGCCCCGTTCCGCTTGTTACGGCATCGATTGATGGCAAGGAGGCACCTAAAATCTATTTCGCAGGTACATCCCGCGATCAACTACTGCAAATGCGCTTCTGTTTGCTGACTGGAACATGCAGACGACATCATCAGCCGCCGGGAGGACATGGCCAGGGGCATAGAGAACCCAATTTCGGCGGTATCACGTATCAATGGCGAGCCAGCCATAGAGTATCTCACCCGGTTCGGGGCCCGCCAGTCAGTCGGTATGCTTGAGCCTCATGCCGACTGGAATGAGCTTATGGACCACCCTGTCCAAGATGTCCAGGGGATTTACAGCATCTTCTCTGGCTCAAGCACTTTTTACCCAGGCAATTCCCTTACCTTTTCATTCGAAGATACAAGTATTGATGATGTGGAAACAAATTGGCTTGCCATTTACAACAATGCCGAGTTCACTGGTCCTTTGGAAACCCCTGGCGACTTTTATAACTTCTTTGTTCTCGGTCTACTACCTGCATCATACTACAATGTCCAGCTCCCGGAATCCTTTGGAGGACCCCCTGATGGAAACGCCCCTATAACCGAAGTCCCGCCAGGTACCGGAGACGCGCCTACTGATGATACGATTGAGGAAGAGCTCAGCGACTGGTACATAAGGAGCTATGGCGCCTTTCCAAAAAAGGCGGAATTTACGCAGAAGACCCTGGGCCTTAACAATGAGACGATTCTAACAGGATATTTCTATGAGGCCATATCCACCGGGGTAGTCAGCATCCCCCATTTCGGCCAGTTCGGATTGCACGTGGGCAGCTTCGGAGACGGCCTTACGGGATTCATGGAAAAGGCCAAGGAAAAAAGCATCCACCACATCATTATCGACCTGCAGAAGAACTATGGTGGATCGACGGGTATTGCGCTGATGCTTTTCCGAGAATTCTTCCCCGGAATCGACCCGTTCGCAGGGAGCCAGCGACGCAGCCATGAGTTGGGGAACATTCTGGGCTCGGCTACCACACAATACTGGCAGAACCTTGCGGCAGATTCAGAGGAGCGCCTGAAGCTTCTGGCAAATGAGTGGATAATTACGACGCGGATCAACGCTGAGACTGGGCGAAACTTCACCTCATGGGAGGAATATGCGGGACCCAGACGGCAGAACGAGGACGATTTCTCGCTTGTTGTAAGTTATAAGCATTCGCCAAAGCAAAGGCCCCCACTGACCTCTCTGTCCCCAGGAACAATACGATCTTGATAACCCACAGTTTCATGCGGCAGCATTTGATGGATGGCTTCTCAATCGCTACCTCAACGATGATGCGGAGGACGATAGGCTCAAGTGGCGGCCTGAAGATATTGTTATCGTAAGTACACAAAGAACGAGAGCTCTATGTATTCATTACTACAACCTCATGATCTAACATTACACCTACTACAGCTCACGGACGGAACCTGCTCCTCTGCATGCGCCTTGTTCGTCGAACTTGCAGCCCAAGCTGGCGCCCGTACGGTCGTTATGGGTGGCACTCCAGAGCCAGGACCAATGCAAACCGCAAGCGGGAGTCGCGGCGCACTCGTCTACACCGGTAAGCTTCTCGACCACGACCTAGACTGGATCAGCGGGCGAAACGAGACTGTCCGGTCCGTTTCCCCCCCCAACCGAAACGAGACGGGCATATACATCAACCATGCTGCCTTCAATCTCCGTGACCAGTTGCGTGCGGGTGATACCTCCACGCCCCTCCAGTTCCGTTACGTCCCGGCAGATTGCAGGCTCTATTTCACCGTCGATAACGTTTACAACATGACAGCTCTCTGGCATGACGTCGCTCGCGCCATGTTTGAGGACCCAAGTATCTGCGTTGAAGGCTCCACAGAGTACGCCTCGGACAGGAAGCAGATGGCACCGGAGCCGCCCGCGGTTGAGGCCCCGGCACCGCTATCTGCGTCGACTTTCACTGTTGATTACGAGCTGACCACGGACAACGGCCTTCCGGCCGGCGACCCATTTGCATCGCACGACCCAAGAGCTCCACCCACATATGGACCATGCCCAGCCAGCAACGTATGCTTAGGTACACGCAGTAGTTGCAAAGATATCATGTACTCCTGTAGCGACGCCTTTAGTTACACGATCTACAAGGAACGGGGTTGCGCCCCGCCTTGCCAAGACCTAGGTGGTTCTTCCGGCCAGAGATGCGTCACTTCTAAATTTACCGGCACGATGGAGAACTCCAATCAAGCAGTCTTGAAGCATAAGAGAGGGTTGCCGGTGACCTTCAAACCAAAGAAGATTCAACCTCCTTATCAACAGCGTCCAGGCGCGGGCCACCCAGTCCAGACCCCCCACATCGTACCCCTCCTAAAGGATACGTCCAACCCAAGCATAATAACAGGGACTTTTGTTCAACTTCACGTGCGACTCAAAATGTGCTACGCACGGTTTCTCTGGTTTTGTCCTAATCGGCTCGGGACTCTATTTGCTGGGTCGAACTGGCTAGGCACTAGATACACATGTAGCATAGTTAATTCATGATGAACGGAGTCTCTTGGGGTTTGCCACACTCTACAGCCGCTACTTTGACTTACGTCCGTTCCCGAGGTTCTCCGCCATATCCACAGACGTGTGTGTACCCGCAAAATGCAGGCGCGCTGGGGCAGTCACGGGTCTCAGATCTGCAAGATCATCCTTGCTCGCCGTAAGGTCGCTACATCTAATGGAGTCGCCAGTGACCATGTCTTGTGCTGCCTTCGGGGCCTACCTCCCCATTGTGTGCCCGTACTCGGCCAGACTTTAGCCCTACGAACACCCCGCGCTGCGGATTAAGCCGAAGGCGGAGAGGATCTCGGCACCACGTAGAGACGTCAACGTGGCCTCGTGGTTCTTCGTCGTCTTGTCCACCACGATGGCAAGGCGCTTACTCCGTCTCTAAACCGTCCCTACTGCGCTGGCACGACGATGGTCTCACAGCAGCCACCCGAACCACCGAGAGCGCCGACGACCACGACAGCCACGCTATCAACGGTCGACGATGGAAGGGTGTAGCATAATCGGGTCGAATTGAAAGGATGCGTATCAAGGATGAGAGATGATGCAACATAAGCGACGCCCCCTACTAAGATTCTGATCTGATTGATCGGTCCCATATGTGTAGGGTCCCGAACTTCGAAGGGTTCCGGTTCGCCCGGCTCATGTCACTCACGCTGGCATCGGAAAATAGAACCGACTGCTGCTGGCTGTCGCCGAGGGGGATTTGCATTGTGTGTATGTGGCCGAGCTACCAGTCAAGGAGACGGGCTGGATGTACGGTGATGCGTGACTGTGGTTGTGTTGCGATGGCAGATGGCAGTCGCAGTTGAGTTGGGTGGACCTGCAGAGGGTGGAGGGGCCCCTGTCTACCCGCATGTCTTAGCATCTAGTGCACAGAGTAGCTAGGCACATTAGGGAGGTACCGACCCTGCAAAACAATGTACCTTGTGGGTAAGGTACCTGGGTTCTTGGCAAGGAGCGGCCAGCCTTCTGTTAACCGGGAAGAATGACTAGTAATCCGAGGGCAGGGATTTTGGGTGCTCCACGATAGGATGGAGAAGATAGCGGAAGTGGTAGAGGGTGTGAAGTCGGGACGCTGCATGGATGCTATTGGGTGGTCGGGACGGAGTCGTCGTGGGCGAAGAGGGGCGGAGGGGAGGAGGACGAGGAGCCTGTAGGCTGGGCCATGATAACCGGGATATGGCAGATGGCGATGTGCTGGTGTGGAACTAATGAAATGATGGAAATCACCGCTTGGTTGTTGACCGCGCTGAACGTTGGCTGACAGAACGATCAGGAGATTGTGGAGGGGATATACAACAGCGGTCCATCATTGCCTGCTTTTGTCTGTCAATGCTTCTTCTCGATCCATGCGCCCATGTTGCCGTAGCTCTGTAGAGTGTGACGTGCGACCGGTTGCCCCAGCACGTGTGGGTGCGACTACAATATGCTGCCCGTTGCCGAGAGGTGTTGGTTATGGGACCAAGGTCGAGGGCGTGCCGCGGTGCCAAATAGGCAGCGGGAGAAACAAGGGCCTTGACCGCCGTCGTTGCGCAATCGAAGCCACGTCCAGGACGACGCTTGTGCCTCGAGATCCGGGATCACGCTCCAGCTGGCTATTGATGGTGGATCCAGTGGAAGCATCTTGTGTCTTGTCGAGCCAAGGCATGCCCATTCTGCCCATGACCTTGTTGCAGTGTTCTTGAGGTATGTTGTTCCTCGCCAGCCTTTCGTGGGGCTGTCTTACGCTTGAGGAGCATCTTTGAGAAGGAGGAGGAGGAAGGAGTGACAAATGGAGGGATATTGTCGGATGCGTGCCGCCAGGGCTCGGCGTGTAGTGCTGGCCAATAAGCTCGCTAAGTACTTGTCCGCGGAAGATGCAAATCGCGGTCCTGTAAGTAGGAGTTAGCACGGGCGTGAGGAAGGACAAATGCGCATAGACGCACGCGTACCTTGATATGCGGTGGCCAAAATGGCTCGAGCTGATGGCATGGCGGCGATGCGCAGTTGCGTGGTTGCGCGGCCCCGATGAACCCCTAGATGTCATGCGTTTCAAGACATGACATCTTCCTGGGAGGAGGTATGCCTATGCTTGTGAGGTCGTCACCAGCCATACCGCGAAAGCTGTTCCCGGGACAACTTGCTAGCACATACGACCATACCCACTGGAAAACTCGGGATCCCGTCCGCTCTCCCATCGATAAGCCAGCGAGGGCGAGGGCCGGATTAGTAGTCGTGTCGGTGACTACCAGCGAAAACCTGGTATTGTGTGTTCTTTTTGTGTTTTGCCATGTACTGATTAGGGGGATTATTACGACGGCTGTGGTTGGACCATCCCTGGGCAACAGTACAGATTTAGCAACTGAAAACAGGCTTGTGCTGCCTCTGGCCGCTTTTGCCTACAATCTATTAACACCTATTGCGTGCTCTGATTTGTGAATTTTTCGCAAGCATGCGCAGTCGAAGAAAGAAATCTTGCCGCGAACTTCGTGCAGATGTTGAGTGTCGACAATGACAGGGGCGAAACAGAGCTGGGCCATGTATGGGGACGGTGTCGTAAAGTTGGGCGGTCGGTGAAATAAGAAGACAGTCGCCGACCTTGCCGTAGCCGTCAAGAGCCATGATGTAAACAAGATGGGCCAAGCTCTCTTCTTGTCGGCAGTGATAGACAACGCATCTGTAGCTGGCATGCTCTGCGTTCGGCGTCTTCATGGTTGCTTAACGAAGAACGGCAGTAGCGTAAATGGTGTCAATAGCTGAATCCCGAACCGGGGAGAGAAAGCTGTATTCTCTGAGGGCAACTTGCAGCTTAGCATAGTCGCTTGTTTGTCACATGGGGACGTTGTTTTGTTGTTCGGGCTGGTAGTGCTGCGCTTGTGGACTGCTTCTGGGCGTGTGTAATATTGCGTGTTGACAGTTGAGGACTGGAGCTGACAACGGCTTGTCACAGAAATAAACTGTTTATGTTCAGAGGGTGACTTCTTTTGATTTTAAGCTGCTAAGCAAACGTGGGAAGTGAAAATAACTTATGCAACTGTATCAAATTTTGGTTTAGTAACGTAACGTATGCTTAAAACTTTTCCTATAGAGTTATTCCACTGTTTTAGTTATTTAATATTTCATGTTGTGCTTAAAGTAAAACAAACACCGTGTGTAGGCTGGCACTAATAGCTATATCATCTGTCTTAACCATTTTCCCTACCGGTTAGCACCCAATAGGATGAATAATCTACAAGTAGGTACACCTGCATGGCTTTACATCTAGTATGTTAGTATGAAATAATAGCAGCATGTTAAGAGCACACATAGTTAGACATGTATTTATTTATCTTACAATAGTTCCTATAGGGTCGTACTATATATTGCTGGAGCAAACAGAAACAGAGAGAAGATGGAGACAACTGGCAAAAAGACTGTCTAATGAGTCGTGGTCCTCCCGGCAAATGTGGTAACGGTGGCTACGAGAGATACGTATGTTGCTTCAATTGAGTATGGTTAAAAACGAATACCAACGCGTTTTTCAGTGCTACTAGAGGTAAAGGGCCGTAAGACCATTAAGCTATATAAGTAGTGTTTAAATAGCTAAGATACTCGTAAACCATGTAATGAAAGCACTATGTTTTCCTGCTGTGCTAAACCACATCTGTAATTGTATACATGCGTCAGCATTACTATCAGGCTTCTCACTGAGCTACGTAGCTATTGCAAGGTCTACGTTTGTCCCCCTGAGTACCACGAGCCATTTCAATACTCAAAAAGTACCACAAAACCTCAGAAAGACATTGTTTCTGCTGCTGAAGATAGACTTAATCCCTGAGTCTCACCGAATAATCCGTGCTTCCTTTGCGTGCCGTTCCCAGAAGAAGAGATTTGGCCCCGTCTTCTGAATGTAATCAAAGACAGCATTGATAAGTTCTTCAGGTTCAAGAACACACATGCCCCAACGGCCAGACTTTCCAACCTGACATCCGCTTGAGTCCAGCGGACGAACTGGCCAGATGCTGATTGAGACGACGCCTAAGTCGAATTTAACTTGCCGAGGTTTCACGGGTTGCCATCGGCATCGGTAAATCACAACAATGGATAGTTATTAAAGGAACCTACAACGCTGACAAACTCGTTTGTTTTAACCATGTCATTTTCCAAACTTCCGCGATAACAGCACCATGCCTGTTTTACTGGTTGCAAAAACGTCTATTATGAGCGAGCTAGCTACTTAAATGACCATGAGAAGTGCATTATCTTCTGAACAAATCCCTCTCAACCCTTTTCAAGTACAAGTATGAACTGCATGGCTTCTTACTTGCAAATCACAATGTTCTTTATCTAGCAGTTGATCAGCAATAGTACTGAATTATTCGAGGTCAAACACCTAATCGACTATTAAAATCCCACGATGACCGTTACCTTATCGGATTTGTCCCCTCAGGCCTCCCGGCTGGCAAGAGCTATGCTCAATGCGGTAACTCAAATACCCGTCGCTCACATTTGGGGTGACCTCAGTCTCGTGCGGGGGATTCAGCCGAATGGAGTAAGCGGCATTGGCATTCGTCGTGTCAGACCAGCGACTGGTCCCCGGACTGGATCGGATGTGGGCTTTGTGGGGGCCCCGTGGACTCCGGAAGCCTCCGGACAGGGTTCCGGGAGTTGTTGCTTTAGCCTAAATGATCAAAGTTGGACTGGTTGAGTGAGCCGTGGCAGGTTTTGCTTACGCGTGACAGATGCAGTTCCGCTTGTTTACCGACGATACCCCGAATCGGGCCGTTGTTCCTACGGCGGAACGGTCAATTCGGCGGCTTAATTGTTTTCGGCCCTGAAGGAAGAACGGCTTAGTGAGAGGCCATGTCGCATAAGATATACCAAAGGAAACCAACCGACACACTTCCTATTCCACACTTTCGTCTCTCACATCATTCACCGTTCCTGATTTGAAAGGTCTTGGATTTCAGGATGATGACCGACAACACTCGTCTCGACGTTGAAGCTTTGATCAAGCAGCTTAGTTGGGATGAGAAAATCGAGCTACTTGCAGGCCAAGGATCTTTCCGCACGACTGGTCTTCCTCACCGTGGCATCCCCGAACTCATTGTGAGTTGAACTTTGGATCCAGAGTACACAAAACTAACATTTGTCTAGACCTCGGACGGGCCCCATGGCATTCGCGGCCGCCGTTCATTTGCTCGGGTGAGCATCCATTGTTGATGCATGGCATATGATAAGCCTAGGTCACAAAAATCGATAAAGATGTGACAGTCTAGACTATCAAAAGCTAACAGTTGTTAAACCTCAGAACCCTAGTCCCATGTTGCCGTCTGCCACTGGTATGGGAGCAACTTTCAATGCCGAACTACTCCACAAAGTCGGGAATCTGCTTGGTGAAGAAGCCAGAGCAAGAGGAGTCCATGTTCTGCTCGCACCCACCATCTGTCTTCAACGTTCACCATTGTTTGGGCGAGGGTTTGAGGCTTTTGCCGAAGATCCTTATTTAAGCGGTATCCTTGGGGCAGCCTACATCAACGGCGTGCAAGAAAGAGGAGTTGCGACCAGTGTTAAGCACTACGCTGCGCACGATCAGTCCGATAACTCGATCGAAGACAACGTCTGCATGACGCAACGGACATTGCGAGAGATTCATCTCATGCCATTTCAGCTGGTTATGCGCGACTCGGACCCCTGGACTTTCATGACCTCATACAACAAAATCAACGGAACCCACGTCAGTGAGGATCCTTTGCTTCTGAAGCAGATTCTACGAGAGGAATGGGGATTCAAAGGACTCGTTATGAGCGATTGGTTCGGCACCTACAGCACCTCAGAAGCCGTGAATGCCGGTTTGGATTTGGAGATGCCTGGACCGACGCAATGGAGGGGCAAGTGCCTGAGCTTAGCAGTTAACAGTCGAAAGGTCCTGCGCGCAACAATCGATGACGCTGTAAGAAATGTTCTAAATCTTGTCAACAAGGTCACAGTTACGGAATCGGCTGGTTATTTCTCAGCGTCGAATACACCCGAGCAGCAAGCCCTGATTCGTAAAATGGTCTCAGAGAGTATTGTGTTGCTCAAGAACGACCGCAAAATACTCCCTATCAAGAAGACAGAAAAGATGAGGGTCGGGTTGATTGGTGACCACGTCAAGAATCCCGCTTTGAGTGGAGGTGGAAGTGCAGAAGTCGAACCATACTACTCCGTGACACCGTTTGATGCCGTCGTGGAGGAGGTCGGCAAGGAGAACGTGTCATACGCCCTCGGGTGCCATTGTGAGATCATCCCAAGCGATATTGATAGGTCAGACATTGGGATTAACTTAACTCGCAGCTTTCAGATTCAGCCCGCTCCTCAAGAATCTTGCACCCAAAGAGTCGCAATACGAAGGGTTTGGGTGGTCCGTCGAGGTCTTTGGAGAAGATCCAGATGAAAACCCAGATGCCGAAGTCCTTGTGTCGGCCCACGCGCAAAAGGAGTTGATCGACGTGCCTGAAAGTTTCCATGCGTCGTTGCCGAAGAAGTTTTATGCTAGAGCTCGAGCAACCTATACGCCTTCTACTTCGGGCCCCTTTCGTTTTGGTTTCAGTACCTCAGGCAAAGGCAAGCTGAAAATAAATGGAACAGAAGTCGTTGACTTGTGGACCGAACACCCAGTCAAGACAGGACCTACGCCATGTTTCAATCGGCTTTCCATGGAGAAATTCTATGACACGGTAATCAATGAGGGGCAATCCATCAACCTGGAAGTTGTCCAAGTAAACGAAGATCTTTCTGGGGGTGTTGGTACCGCCTTGACTCTTGCAGGACGTGTCGGTGGATTTGAAGTCATCGATGAAGATGTTGCCATCAAAGAAGCTGCAGACCTTGCAAAGGCTGTCGATGTTGCAGTCGTCGTGGTTGGTCTTTCTTCTGATTTTGAGTACGAGGGAGCCGACCGTAAACACCTCAGACTTCCCGGCCGCGTGGACGACTTGATCGAGGCCGTGCTCAAGGCGAACCCGGATACTGTCAGTTTACCCTTTTTCTTTTACAGACAAGAATCCAAGTCCATTACTGACATCACTACTCTAGGTGATTGTGACCCAATCTGGCTGTCCAATCGAGATGCCCTGGGAATCTAAGGCAGCCACCCTGGTTCACGCATGGTTCGGCGGCCAAGAAACCGGGCATGGTATCGCCGACGTTCTCTTTGGTAACGTCAACCCCTCTGGTAGACTTTCTCAGACCTTTCCAAAGTCCATCAAGCACACACCCGCGTACCTTACATTTTCGAAAGCCGACTACGA